TATTAAATTAAATAGTATTATATAGTATTTATAATAGTATTTTATTATATACTTTTTGTTATTACAAAGTAATACATGAAAACAGAGAGACACCTCCCCCTCCAACTACTTAGTTTACATATACATATAAATAGATATCCCTTTCCTCCAAAATATGATCATTCTGGGTTTGCTGCTTTATAATAAGCCTTTCCCCTTAATAATAAGCCGTGCCTGGTGCGGTCCAGCGCCTGTAGTCCCAGCTACTTGGGAGGCTGAGGCAGGAGGATCGCTTGAGCCCAGGAGTTTGAGTCCAGCCTGGGCAACATATGGAGACCTCGTCTCTAAGTAAATAAATAAATACATATACAAGGGCTGTCTGGAGAGTATCCAGCCAGTGTTAATATGTAATTTTCATATTACAGGGCTGGATGCTTTCTGGACTGCCCTTGTATGCATACATACATAAAATAAGCCATGTACCATCTTGAGAGTCACCAGCGTGTGTGTGGTCCAAGGAAACCACCTGCAAAGGTATCTTCTAAGGTGGGGCTTTACAAACATTCCAGAGCATTCAAATCACCCCTCTGGGCGATTCTCATTTAGAAGATCTGGGCTATAGCCCGAGATTCTGCATTCCTACCAGGCCCCATGCGATTCTGGCATGGCTGGTCCACAGGCTACACTTTGAGCAGTAATGTCCTAAGATGGGATGACTAATTATTAAATATTTGACTAGGCTTTCTGGAGTCTGGCCTTGGAATCTTATTTTAACTACATTCCCAAAGTGACTCCTTTTTTTTTTCTTTGTGTGTGTATGTGTTTGGTAAAATACACATACCATCAAATTTACCATTTTAACCATTTTAAAGTATGCAATTCAGTGGTGTTAAGTACATGCACAATGTACAACTATCTAGTTCCAGAACTTCTTCATCATCTCAAAAGGAAACTCCATCTCCATTAGCAGTCACTCCCCATCCCTCGCCCTGCAACACCAGCCTCTGGCAACTACTAATTTGCTTTCTGTCTCTACGGATTTACCTATTCTGGATATTTCATAGAAATGAAATCATACCAGGCTGGACAGGGTGGCTCATGCCTGTGATCCTAGCACTCTGGGAGGCCGAGGCAGGAGGATCGCTCGAGAGGCCAGAAGTTCAAGATCAGCCTGAGCAAGAGCAAGACCCCATCTCTACAAAAAGTAGAAAAATTAGCTGGGCGTCGCAGCACACACTTGTAGTCCCAGCTACTTAGGAGGCTGAGGCAGGTGGATCGCTTGCACCCAGGCGTTTGAGGTTGCTGTGAGCTATGATGATGCCACTGCACTCTACTCCCATGAGAGAGCAAGACCCTGTCTCAAAAAAGAAAGAAAGAAAGAAAGAAAATAAATCATACCATACATGACCTTTCGTGTGTTTGGCTCCTTTCACCTAGAGTGATGTTTTCAGTGTTCATTTGTGTTGTACCATGAATTAATGCTTCATTCCTTTTCCGAGGTTACTCTTATTATGCCATCTGAAGTTTGAGACCCACTATGCTGGTGTTCAGCACCTGGGTTCTATCTGGACAGTGCAGCCCAGACACAGAGAGTGTGAGCTTTGGAGTCCAATGGCTTGGGTTTTAATGTTGGGCCAGTTTTACCATCTCTATAAGCCTCACCCTGTTAATCTGTAAAATGGGAATTATAACAGCCCCTCGCTCAGGGTGCTATATGCAAAGTGGTGGTTAGTGGTAAGAGTTCAGTAACTGTTAAGTATTATTGTTATTGCATTTT